AAGGACCTCTTCCTCCTTCTCCATAGCCTCTTCCTTTGATGTCTCTAGCAGGATCGAGACTGGTTTTGCTTTCTTCCCTACCGGCTTGTACTTTCGAACACTTCCTTCCGGGATCTTTCTCCTAAAAAATGAACAGCCGGAATTGCCCCCGTCGCCTCTATGACTCGTGGTTGAATACTAACTAATTTCCCATTCAGGCAATATCCCTTTTGCACCTCTCTTTCGAACTTGGCCAAGGCTGCCGAATCCACCCCTACCTTGTGGTATCTGAGGGCCTTCATGAGTTGCAATAGATCGGGGATCTCGAGTGCGATTTTCGGCATGTCTAGGCGCACTTCTTTCCGTTTGGGCAGGCTAGCACCAAGTTCGACCTCTGACTCCTTTTCTACTACCATAACACCTAGGACTTCGTCCTCCTGCCTCCTCTTCTTCTGGGGCAGGCTCATCTTGATCCACTCCTTCTTGTTGAACGCTTCCTCAATCATGATTTTTACCCTTTCTCTCATACCCTCCATCCGTGCGAAAGCCCCTTTTCGCATGCTATCCTCGAATGACGGCGACCATGTTGCCAATTTCCCTCTCGGGGGGTCTCCTCCCGTTCCAAGGAGTCGGAGGAGCTCTCCCCGACCGGTCACAGGGTCCTCTATGTCTACCATGTACGAGCCACCGCGCAAGTGCATGCCTATTATCTCTACGTTCGCGCACCATGGTCTCCCGAGGATTATGTTGTGGTCCATTTCCTCCATTACGGTCATCCGCTGAAACGACCAGATCGATTCCCTGACCCCTGCCTTCACAGCACACTTCGTGACGTACCCAAGAACGGGATTTCCCCGCCAGCTCCCCGGATGCTCCCTGTTACTTCCTTGTTTACCGTACATCCCGTGATCGTTGCGAAATCTCTCCTTATGAGAGTGATTTCTGCTCCTCCGTCTACTAATGCGTCGGTGTGATGGCTCCCGATCTGAATTTTCAATTTCCCTACGGGTAGCGCATGAAAGCTAAGCTTCGTCCCGGGTGGCGATCTCATGACTTCGCCGCCCTCTCGGTCGGGCAAGCTCAAACAAATGTCTGCAAAGGACTTCTCGAAATCCTCCAAGTCCCCGCGACTCCTCTGCAGGTTAGCCACTTCTTGCGGAACTTCCTCCTCCCTCTCCCCTTCTGGTAATTCGGGGTTGTCGCCTATTTCTACTCGCCGCCGGGTCAACAGTTGTCTAAGCCCTTTGAGCAACCTAGGGCTAGCCTGAAGCATAGTCTGAAAAGACACCGACACCATGGTTCTTAGTAACTTGCTAATGGTGTCGTCGATTTCTGGCAAGGATAAGATCGGGATTTGGTACCTAAACTTCGTCTTGGCAGCGGTAACTTTGTCGGCAGGCTCCTCTTCCCTCGGTTTCCCAGAGACCTTTTCCGGTTCCTCGGCCTCAGGCTCTACCTGGGGTTCCGAACTTCCAGTGACCTCCTCCATCACGGTGTCGCAGTTAATCCTTCTCCCAGCCATCCCTAGCCTAGTAGTCGCGTTCACCCTATCACGTCCGTCGTTTTCCAAAATAAAATTGACCTGCGACCCGCGCCCCTGGCGTTGATCCCAGATGATCTCTCCCACCGGTTCGGCTTTTACGGCTGTTATTTCTAGCCCGTTGAGCATGATAATGGCTCGCCGCATCCCTCCTGGTGAGTTCCAGTTCACCCATTCCCCTTGTGGTCCAAATATCTCCCCCTTTAAGGACCTAGTACACCTTCTTTTTAGAATATCATGGTTGAGCTTTGGGCACGCGTGCACATAATGTCCTATCGCGGTACAGTACTTGCATTGCTCGTTAGCGGGATCTCTCCGTCCGAATCCACGATTGGCCACCCCTGGCAGAACTACTGCTTCCTGGGGCGGGAGGGGGGGACGGGATACTTGCGCCTGCATAACTAGTAGCGCGCTCTCCATCCTTTCAATCTTGTTGTCGACTCCGTGCACCCGTTCGTGTAGGCTTTCAATCCCCTTTTTCACCTTGTCGCCCGTCCTACTGGTCAAGTCTATAATCTCCCCTTCCTTAAGCAAGGCCAATGTCTCGATCACTACCGTCTTTTCGGCCAGATCCGTTACCGTACTGAAATCAACATCCCTGGTGTTTACAATTTTGTTCGTCTGTTGGTAAGCCGACAGGATCTTGTCCTTGTCGAACTCGGAGAACTGTCTGAGGAAATAGTTACTCATTATTCGATCCATAACACCGGGGATTCTTAGCGCTACCAAGGTAAACTCCCGTAGGAAGTCATTGTACGTTGCGAAGTTCTTTCTCTGGACTGCCGCTAAATCGGCCTCCGTTGCCATCTTTTCTGCTGCCAGATACTTTCTCATCTTCACATCCCGGGTTTCTTTCCAAGACCGGCTTGCGGCTACGATGGCCATTATGTCCCGTCCTAGGCTCAAAGACACATGCTGTCCCAGGTGGTCCATCTTCTCCTCTTCGGTCCATTTCAACAGCGCAACCAGGTTCTGGTAATCTATCAGGAATTGCGTGATGTTCGCCCCATCAAACGTCAACTTTTTCTTAGCATCCGCTAGGTAGCCTTGATTTTTGTTTAGTGCTCGCGCGAGGGACGACACTATCTTCTTAAGGCTGCCCTCGGAGCTGCTGGCCTCGCCTGTCACACTGTTATCCGGACCTTCCTTGCTGGCCTTCTATCCCTCCCTGGTTTTCGTAGTTCCTTCTCGGTCAAACCATCCCAACACTCTTTCCCTAAGGCTTCAGAGTCCTTCGCACCCTCGCGTCACTGCTGGCGTGGTCGGCGGGCGGCTAGCCCTACTATCTATGGCTGGCGGGGTCGTAGCCTTTTCCACGTCCATCCCCGGAGAGTTCTCCCCTTCTTTCCTTCTTTTGCTCGGCGTTCCCCCACGGTCACTACCTTTATCCCCTTGTCCAGTCCCTCCTCGGCCGGTTCTCCGTTCGTCCCGGGGTTCCTCCTGCAGAGAGCCTTCTTCGTTCCCAGTCATCATTTCCTCAATCAATCTCACCTTGTATTCCGCGGTCCTTTTGTCTATCTCGGCTAGTCTGCGCCTCGTATCCGTGACTCTTACTTTCTTAAACACGGCTCCTTCCGAGTTCCCGGGGCTTGTCCTATCCTTATTCCTGCCTTCCTTGGTCCCCTGAGTCCCTTGCCTGCTTCCCCCAGCTTTCCCCGAGCTTTCCCCGAGCTTTCCCCTGTGGAGATCTCCTTCCGGTTCCCTTTGGTACCATCTGGATTTATCGATTCTCTGTCCTTCTGCCCCCCTTCGCTTTGTGCGGCACTACCTCCTAAGCCCGGTTCTCCTTCACTCTTATGATTATCTGTCTCCTCCTCCGTTGCCATTTTGCCTAGTTCTGCATAAGCCAAAGAATTCCCAGGACACACGCAATGCGAGGTATTTTAGGTTTCTTAGGCTCCCAGCCCTGTTGGCTTATCTATATAGCCTCCTTTCCCATCCTCGTTTCCTGATTGCCCTTCCTTAAGGAGGAGCCACGACTGGCCCTGCCGCTCAGCCAAGCTATGAGCGTGACTTGGCTTCCTTTATCACAAGCCTGTTTGTAGTGCCCTTGTCCCGTCGGGCCGATGCGAGGGAGTCCGGGTTAGGCATTCTGCTAAGGAAAGTCTTTCCAAGCAGTGTTCCCTATTTTTGACCTTCAGGGTTGTGGTCAATCATTAGGAGTCTACCCCCTTTTTTGTTTTCCTAATGGGTTTTAGCCATCCGGGTCCAAGGCCCCTTTCTTATTCCCATCGGCGGATTTCCATACGCAGCGAACTATACTAGACCTGCCCTATTGGCCTGCCTGCGGATCCTAGTCCCGCTCGCGTGGTTCTTTCAGTTCGGTCGGCTCCTCGAATAGCTCAGCCACCCCTGCCAAATAGCTCTCTCCTATCTCGATTTCCCTTTGGATTATGCATCCGTGCCCTGTCTGGTCTAGCCAGGGCGCACAAATATCAAGATATGGATGACCTCCAGTAACTCGTGGGCCCTGTTTTCCCAGAACGGCCCATGCCTCACGACGACATCATAGAACATCCCGATGGTTAGAGAGGAAAAGTGGTCTGCCCACATTATTGCCGAGTCTGCCAGCTCTCGTGCCCTTGCAAGGCTCCCGAAGACGAGATCTATCATAAAACGGGGGACCCGGCACCTCAGCGGCGTGGTTGGTGCTCTGAATTCACGCCATCCCCCAATTTCCACTCGGGTAAGTAAGCCCACGTTCCTTCTACCCCTGACTGATTGTCCTATCCGGGTCAACGTCCGGGCGACCCTTTGAAAAACCGGCGCCAGCTCGTGACCTTGTGCTATCTCTACCCCCAACGAGTGCCAGCCGATCTCAGGCAGATACGTGGTCCCGGTAAATTCCAGATTGGAAAACAGATCGTCCCCGGGTCCTCGGTCGAGTCTCATCCCTGTCCACCGACATTCTACCAACATGAAGGCGGCGTCCCTCCCCAAAGTCACAGCCCGCCATTCTATATCGAACCCCCGATAAGTTGAACTCGACGGGAGGGATACTTCCCAGCACCCACCGTTACTCCACGGCGGTCCGGGGTACCGGGGTTGGCGCGCCATTCGCACACGGGCCTGAAGTTCCATATGCTCACGTCTTGCTGCCATGGTTACCTTGGTGATTTCCTGCATGATCCACATAGAAAGTGTTACAGCCAATCCTTAGAAACCGTCCACCTACTGCCCCCTTGCCCTTCGTGTTTTCATTCCTCTTTTCTAGTTCTTACTATCCCTCCATACCCCCGGGAGCAGTAGTCTCCTCTGGGTGTTCGTACAGCCGGTAGAGATCATCTATGTAGGTTGCGCCCCGACCAACCTCTCGCCGGATGACCCCCACATGGTCTCATCACTTATTTGGGGGATTCCCGGCCTAGTATTTACCACTGCTCGTAGAATGCAAAGCACCTCGCGCCCCTGTTCGTCCCCGAAAGGCCCCATCTCTAGAAAGACCCGGTAGTATTCTCGATACATTAATGCTTCGCCGAAATTTAGCCTCGTTACAGCAGTCACCGCCTGCTCCACTCGTTCTATGCCCCCCATTTGTCTTAGCAGGAAGGGCGGTAGATTCATCCGTACGACCTCACTTGGTAGCTCAAAGACCCCTGCCGTGGCGACTTTTACCTCCGCTGTTATGTCATCTCGTCCCGGGTCTGCAAACTCAAACCCCTCCCGCCAGGTTATTTGCCATGCCCCTTCGAACATTCGCACGGGGTCATCCCCGGAAGCCAAAGCAATCCCAAAGGTCCGCCATCCCTYTTCCGACAGGTGTAAGGATCCCGTCGCATGTACACGCCCCGGGCGATTCAAGTCTACGCCCCCGAACTCCCCTCTCGCACGCCATTCCAGCTCCACTACTAGGTACCCGTATCTTCCACCAACTCTACCCCCACCCAGTCCATCACCGGATTGCCTATCGTACTTCTTGCCGGCAGGCTTATTTCGACCCTGCCTTCTGATATTCTTGGTGGCAGGATCCCACGAGGTCTATCCTCCCAGAACGTCATTCGCCGGGCCATCTCGCAATGTCTCATTTCCCGCTTTCTTAGTCTGCTTGCTGCACCCACCGAGATTCCACGCCTTTCGTGTTTTAGTCCTTCAACCCCCCCCTACTTATCGTACACTGGTTCTTGCCGCTATCCCGTTTCCATGTCTGCCTTAATTTTGACCTCCTCGCGTCCCTTGCTGACTAATGTACATGCCTCTTTCTTATGTTACATCCTAAATCACATGCATCCTCCATACTCCGTCCTTCCCGTGGCGCTCGAACTTTGGACCCTTCTAATCAAGCCACCGCACCTCAAACAGCAAAAAGACATCGTCCACATAGGATGGCGCGGCCGCCGCCTCCCGGCTAACTATGGCGTCCCAAGCTTTCGCGCTTACTTCTAGGTGGTCGTACTTGCCTATTCTTAGAACGATGATGACTTCCTCGGCTTTATCTCCGTAGAAGGGCCCATATTTCAATGAGAGCCTATAGAACTCCTCAGTCAACCAGGCACACTCTATACGTACCCTTCTCATGGAGTCGGCTACTTCTAAAATGTGCTCAATCCCCCCAAACCACTCGGCTATGAATTCCGGTACCCAAGCCGTTATCCGTACACTTGGAGGTGTGAGTTCCTTCCATCCTCCCATCATAAATCTGCTACTAACTTCGTTCCATCCCTCGTTGGCGAACAGCTTGCCTTCCTTTCGGGTTCGGGCCTCTGCATTCCCTAGAAGCCACATCGGGTCTTATCCCATTGCTAACATGGTGCAAAACAGTTGCCATTCATCCTCGGAAAGGACAATCGTTCCAACTGACTCTATCTTGCCTTCTGCTATATCATCCCATCCTTCCTCTTCCCTTATCGGGTTCCAAATCCGCTCTATCCATACATATAACAAGTCCCGGGCAACCTCAAACCCAATCCAGTCGCACGTGGTCCCTCTCCATCCGTTCCCTGTTGGTATCGGCATTTCTATTCCTCCTCTGAGTCGCCGTGGTTCCCAACCTTTGAAGGGGTATTCCATCATCCTTTCTTCTCTAGTCATCTTCCCCTTTCCTGCACAATACCAGGCCACACGTCCTCCCTAAGTTAAGTTTCCCCACTCCTCTCAGAAGTCCCAATCCTCTATCTCCTCATCCTCGTCCTCATCACCGAAATCGTCCTCTCCGTCGTAGAACAACTCTTTCACCCCCTCCACAAATGTCTCCCCTATTGCCACATTTCTATACACTATCCCCCAATGTACAGGGCTAGAGACATAGATATTGTCTAAGCTAAGACAGCTTAGTATCTCGGCCAGTTCGTCCGCCCAGTTCCCCTCAAACGGCCCCTTTTCTACTGACAACCGAAAGAAATTCTGCCTAGCACATTGGTATAGCCCGAGGTTCGTCATGGACTGGCATATCCGTACTAGCCTGCTCCGAGCTCCGAAAACCGCATCCACTAGGAAGGGAGGCAGCACACATCGCATGGTTCTTACGGGTCGCCTCATGCTTCCTCTATCCCCAAGTTCCACCCGCACATCTACCCTCTCCATTTCCATCTCCCTTCGCTGACACGCAGCCCACACAACCTCTGCTTCCGCCTTCTTAAACAATTCGTCCGCCGTATTCCCGAATGCCAATTCTATGACCATAGCATTTTCCCCATCTTTCGACAAGTAGACCCACCCCCGAGCTTCCACTGTTCCCCGGAACTCCAAATCCATTAAACTTGGTGACAACCTTGCCAAGCTAACATTAGCCCATACCGTCTCTATCCATAGGAACGCGTCTTTCCCATCCAGCATCACAGTTTGATATGCTGGTTCAAGGTCCGTCCACGCCCCATCTTCCGGGAGGACGACCGACACCCCATCCTTTACGTCTACTGGCATCTCTGGACCGCTGGTATAAGTCGGGGGAGACAACCATCGCGCCATCTTGTTTCCAGCACCCAGCCCCTGTTTTTCATGAAAGAGTACCAACCGGTTCTTTTGGTCAGAGCAACCCCTTTTCTTAAATGAGGATTATTTCAGACCCCCCATTAAGGTCTCCTTAATTTACCTTCCCATTTCTAAGTACCTCTTTTTCCATAATTCCCTCGGTCGGTCACCCATTTGTCCACATTCTTTCTCTTGGTTCCATTCCAATTGACCTCTATCCTTCTTCCTTCCGATCATCTCTCACTCGTGTGGAGTTAGAAGGGAGGGGGAATAGACTTAGAAGAATACCCGTCCAACAATCCAAGCTCAATCAATCTTTACGGGGGAGGGTACATAAAAAAAAACAGGCAACCTCACATACGGGCCGGTCATCTCCTCACCGACCATCCCAATATGGTCTCTCTGCTGGTACTATCGGTAGGGTTTTATCCCATACCTCAAGCACAGCTCAACCGTCGCGAGCGCGGTACCCAAGT